GTGTGTGTGTGTGTGTGTGTGTGTGTGTGTGTGTGTGTGTGTGTGTGAAAGCAGTGCCAGAAGAGGTCATAGATGTTCTGGAGCTGTAGTAACAGATTGTTGTGAACCACTCAGGCCCTCTGAAAGAGTAGCTTGTGTTCTTCTAGCCACTGAACCATCCCTCCAGTCCTAGGCTGTCTCCTTATAAAGTAGAACTGAGCCGCACACATGAGCCTCACAATTACCTGTAACTCCAGTTTCAGGGCATCCAATGTTTTGGCTTCTGGAGGTAGTGCACATATGCAATACATAAACATACATGCAGGAAAAACACACATTTACGTAATTTTTTAAAATCTTGAAGCAAAGCATATTAGCTGGAGAGGGCTCAGTTGGTGGAGAGCTTGCTAGCATGCATGAGGCCCCAGGCTTGGTCCCCAGCATTTCAAAAACTGGATATGGTGGAAAATATTTGTAATCTCAGTAACTGAGTGGTAGAGAGGCAGGCAGGAGGATCAGAAGTTTAAGGTCATCACTGGCTACATAGCAGTTTTGAGGGCAGTCTGGGATACATAAGAAGATCCTATCTCAAAACAGCCCAAAAGTAAATCCCCAATGCAGCTAGGGACACAGTGGCTTCAGTGAGGGCAAAGAGCTTCCTCCCCTTGGTAGAGCGGCTACCTGCCTGGCCTGGCTGATTGATGCTTGGCAGTCATGGGGCAGCTGCAGTACAACACAAAAGGGCTATCTTGTGTGGTTGTTTCCCCATCAGGCAGGACAGGCTCTGCGGCTTCTGAAGAGCTATTCAAGCCTGTCTCAGGAGACACAGGCAGCCAGGAATGAGGGCAGCGTGCCATGGCACCAGGGCTGGGCAGTCTTGCCACCTCCATGCACTCGTTCCAGAACGTGTGGGAAGCAGAGTGGGCCCTGCTGCAGGGCGTAGGCCAAAGGTCTTCAAAGACTGGGCCCAAGGACAGTAGTCTCCCGAGGTTTAGAAGTGGAGAAAGATAGGGGAGTGGAAGGGCTGGTAAAATACCATCAAGAAATGCCAGCTTGGCCACCAGTAAGGTGTCTCACTGGGTAAAGGTGCTTCCTGTCAAAACTGATCACCTGAACTCAGTCCTCAAGACCCACATGGTGAAGAGACCTGACTCGTGCAAGCTCTGGTCTTAAGGCTCCCTCCACAGGCATGCTGTGGCACTTGTGCCCACCTCCAGTCATCAATCAATCAATCTTTTAAAGTTAACATCCAATACAGGTAGGATGTTGATGTAAAATGTCTAGATTTCAAATAATTACTACACAACCAATGTACAGCCCAGCAATAAATTAGTCACTAGCTCTATGTTCCAAGGTACTAGTTAAGTATGGAATTACGTTAATTCCGGCTCCACTGGTGCCGGAATTCAGAGCATAGCTACAGAAGACCTTAGCTACATGGTTCCCTTTCCAGTAAAAAGTTGAAGTCTGTATACCAAGAAAACTAGAAGCCCGTGTGTACATGGCGTTAGAAGGGGAACCAGCTGAAAAAGGGGGTTTCAGAACATCACAAGAGCATGCTGTGAAAACCACTTCAGAGCTAGGGAAAAAAAAAAAAAACAAAAGAACAAGACAGGGCCCAGAAACAGTTTGGGGTGCACTGTGGGTTTCCTCTGACCAGGCCACAGCAGGCAAAGCTCACCCCGAAAGTCAGCTGATGTCTCTGGAGATGCTTACCCCCACCCGTCTGCTTCAGGCACTGACCCAGCTGCATAAATGCCGCACGGGACAGGCAGTCATTCCACGGCAGTAATGACAGCACCTGCCTCACACAGAGGAACAGATATGCAGGACGCGCTGTCCTTTCCTGGCTCATGAACAGCTAGCCACGCTTCAGAGATTTGCCATGAAAATTGAGGCACATAAAAAAAATTGCAAGATCAGAAAACTGGTGTGTTCAGAAATCCTAAAATTGCCCCTGGCAGGGACTGGGGCATGGGGGAGTGGGGAGAAGACCAGCAGCTAAGCTGACGTCATTCAGCCCGGTCATCCCAGCACCTGAATTTTGGGTTTTGAAGTCAAAAGATAAGACTTCAGTGTGGCCCAGGCTGGTCTAGAACACATGACCTGCCACCTCCTCAGCTCCCCAGGTGCTGGAATTATAGCCCTGTGCCACCATGTCTGGCTTCAATACTGCATTTCAAAAGGATTGAGCTACAGGTTTGTGGATGGGAGGCCATCACCTTCAAAGGAAGGAAGGGGACGGACCTCCTTGTCTGAATAGTGAAGCCCTGCCACCATCCTGACGCACACCCTCATTAACTGCGTCATCCTCACATGCTCACAGTCAATCTTCTGGAACATGCAGATAAACATCGCCTCTTCAAGGCTTTGGGGTCCAACAGACACATAAATAAACACATAATTCTACAAAAAAAAAAAAAAAAAGGCAAAGGCCGGCAAAGTAGCTCAGAGAGCGTCTGTCCACACAGTGGAAGAAGAGGGCTGACTCACAAGTTGTCCTTTGACCTCCATACCAAAGCATAGCAGTGTGCCCTGTCCCTCACAAAATAAATTAATTTACTACCCAGCCTTGTCACATCCACTTGGTGGCCTTGGGCAGCAGGGTGGTCACACTAGTCAAGTCAGGTGATGTCGACAGAGTTCAGCTGCCAGAGTTATCGGGAGCTTTGTAGTGGAAAGAGAGGGTGTACAGCTGCCCTTCCTTCCTCACCACTGTTTAACTCAGTCATTAGGATCCTACAATTACTCATCCAGACTCACCTAATCCCAGCACTCACCACGGAGACACAGCAGCTGGAGGTGGCTGTCCCCACCGTCTCAGAATGACTCTTCTGTCCTTAGCTAGTTCCAAACTTCAACAGGGCATCCCTGTATAAACCGAAAGGACCTAACAATCCCAAATCTTTTGTTTGTTTTGAAAACAGGTCTCACTATGTAGCGTTGGCTGGCCTGAAACTAATAGATGCTCCTGTTTCCACCTTCCAACGGCTAACTCCAAATGCTTAACTCCAAACCTATTTTTAAAGGTGTAAAATGGAGCACCTTTGGGGGGGGTTGGGGAACAGATCTGACATAGCCAGCTGCCTAGATACTCCAAGTCCTGCTGTTTCCCCAAGGGCCCAGAGCAGCAGTTCTCAACCTGTGGGTCACGACCCCTCTGGGAGCAGACTGACCTTTTCACCAGGTCACCTAAGACCACCAGAAAACATATCATTAATCACTGCAGCAAAATTACAATTATGAAGTAGCAACAAAAATAATTTTATGATTGGAGGGGTCACTACAACATGAGGTTGCAGCATGAAGAAGGCTGAGAACCAGTGGCCTAGAGAGTCATACTTCGCACAATGTTCCTGCTGGGGCCACCTTAAATAAAATTCTTGCCACACTTGAACCCAGGCTCTGTATTAGCTTGATGTAGGAGTGGTCTGAGAGATAGGGAACCATTTTCCACCTTGGCTGCAGACAAGCTAGCAGAGTATTAGCGCCTGGACCAGTTGTGAGAACATCCTTGCCCTATACTAATTGGGCACCTAAACTCCCCAGACTCCCTGCATCCCGGCCTAAGTGACTTTCTTTGGGGCAGATGGTATCTTAAGAGGATGGGGACACACAAGACTGATAGTCATCTTTGGCCTGCAGGACCATGTCTAGGAGAGGGTCTACCCAAGCCTGCTACAGAGAAGGTTGTCTCAGGCTTGTTTTCATTACAGAATCTCCATCCCAGGCAGAATAATTAAATTATGTTTAACTCAATTAATTAATTTCAATATAATTTAATTTCTGCCTAACAAGAGAAACTAAAATTAAGAAATGAGATTTTGCTGGGGAGAACTGAATTTGAGGGCCACACAACATTGCAATATTTAAGATTTTGTTTTCACACCCCACCCTTTGTCACTCCCCTAGAGCACTCTTGAGAAGGCAAGCATGCCCCTCAGTCAGAGAGTCCTTTGCTTGCTGGCACAGATGTAAGCTTCCCAATCCAAGGTTAACCGATTCCTTCTGTATGTCCAGTCCCTTCCTACCAAGTCCAGTCTCTCCCTTGAGTTTCAACTCACCTGTGGTAATAGATACTGCAGAACATTGCCTCCCAATGCCCTGGG